AAGATGGGCAATTTAGGCACACATGTATACTTGTAATCCATGGATCCAAATCGAACGACTTATATACTATTCGATTCATCACAATGAAACTAATCGAATGATATAAAAATCAGTGGATTCGAATCGTCGGATCATAAGTTATAATAAATTCGCCGCGATAACACCTTTACTTATATTTCTTGCTTTTTTTCAGTTTTGTTTAATTTACCAGGAAAGTAAGCTATTTAGTACCCGATTTTATCGGACGAATAGTCATAATTTTACTCGTTGCAGTGTGATCGTACTGGTTCTGCGCTGCGTCACGCGCTGCACAGCTACCCTAATTGATATAAATAATAATCATAGGCACTTTAAAATTTTCCATTTTGGAGTGATTAATGCATATGTGACGAATAGTGGCGTGACAAATAACACACAAATAAAAAACTATTCTTTATTCATCACACCGATATTCGTCACATGAATATTTGTCACACCAAGCAGATATACGCTTTAAAAATAACGTGTCGATCTTTGTCAAAACAATCTAATTCTGGTCAAATTTGCAGATCATTTCTCGGGTTTTCCATCCAAATGATCTGCAAATTTGACCAGAATTGTATATACTCTTAGGGCTGTAGGGTGCATTTATATACTCTTAATACTCTTAGAGTACATTTATATTAATTATTATTAAATAATTGATTAAATAATTAATCGGCTATAGTCGGCTATTAGCCGCTTTAGCCGATCGGCTAACCGGCTAAGAGTCGATAACCGATCGTAGTCGACCGATAGTCGACCGTAGTCGACCGAACCCATCCCTAAGCAGCAGATGAAGATCCATAGCTGCCATTAATTGCTTGAAAATTTTTATTTTGGATTCGTGAAAGATCTATTTTTCACAAGATACTTCGATAGAATGAGTAAGAGTTATTAGCTGGCTTTTCGCTAGAATAATAATTTCATCTAGAGAGACAAGGCTTAATTTTCTTTGACTTTTTTGTGAAATTCGTTCACTTTCAGGGAAATCAAATACAATCGGCTCTTCAAGCCGTGCCAGAGCTGAGAGGAGGTAAGGGATTATTAATTCAAAGCCTACCATGTCAAAGTTGTCGAGATTCACTTCGTTTAATCTAATAAGAAAGATTTTGTCAGTCATTACTAAAAATTCGTTTCATTAATGACAAACATCTATTTATGCAACAGTTCATTTGTCAGAGTACAAATTATTTCCTCTTGCCCAATTTAGAGTTATTGATGTCAATGCTACAGCAATCAAATAACTTGCTACTCCAATTAATTGTATACAGTGTTCAGGTTTGGTTGGGTCAATCCGAACCCGCAAGTTAAAGTCAAAAATACGACATGTCACATTAGATTCTGACACATGCTATAACATGCATTTGACAATGAACGAATAAATATCAATTAGATCAACAATCGAATGGTATATTGAATGTTTGTTTAGATTTCATGTCGTTATTAATTTTTTTTTTTTTTTTTTTTTTTTTTTTTTTTTTTTTTGACTATTGACATGAACTGACAAGAATCTTCTGGCCCAAATCAGGTTGGCTGATAATCTGACCAGAATATTCTGGTCTGAATCAGGTTGGTTAATAATCTGACCAGAATATTCTGATCTGAATCAGATTGGCTAATAATCTGACCAGAATATTCTGGTCTGAATCAGATTGGCTAATACTCCGATCATATCCAACTTTTTCGGATCACTAATTGCTTAAATAGATGTATCTAAGTTTCTAAATATATCGATATACGTTTTTTGTAAATAATTTTTGGCTTTCTTGAAAATTGTAATAAATTGAACCTGTTTAAAGAAAAAAAAATCATTGAAAGTAAAAACTTTATTATTATGGAAATATTAATAATGAAATTAAAACATATATATTTATACAATATATGATATTTACAATAGTTATTCCTAGATCATTCAATTTAGTTTCAAAGAATTCACCGGAATGTGATCGGAAAAGACCTAGAGCAAGTAGACCTGCAAGTCCAGATACTATGGCGCCAGCACCACTACCAGTCCAACTACCTTGCATATCTTGGTTATTTAAAAGCCATAAGAGACATTGAGGGAATGCTAAGCTGAATTCCTTCGAAGATTTTGTTTCTTTATAAATTTTGCTAGGAATCATTGCGATCCAAGCAGTATCGTAAGGAGACATGGATATTTCACCATATCCAACCCAATCCGGATCATCGGCATGCTGGGCAGATTTAAAGGTTTTTTTGAAAAACTCTGGACATATTTCATTTGCATTCTCAGTTAAGAGTCTGTCAGAATATTTAATAATTTTAATCTGTAAATTATTTTTTTCGTTCTTTTCGAATAACTTTTCAGGAGTAGAAAGATGGTCAAAGTCATACATTTTATTTAAGTGTATTATAATTAACCTTGTGTATTATAATTAACCTTTTGTTTTATTGAAATATTTACGAAAATTATTCTACTTTATATAAGATTTTCATATCTATATTGTAAAAATCTTACACTTTTGCGATAGCATCAACATTTTTAATTTGTCAGAAAATAAATAACGATGATTAATTCGAATACAGTCCTTCGGCTAAGTTATGCAATTCAGTATACCGTTCCATTCCAAAATTAAGCACCCCCCGAAATTAAGCACACCCTAAGTATAATCGTATCGGATTTTTTACTAAACAAGTCTACTATCTGTTTCTAAGTAAAGATATTCTCCAGGTCAAGACGATTCTAATGATGGTAAAATTATCAAAATCGATTCATTAGAACTTTTACAATTATTTTTCAAGGTTCAGGCAACATTTACTTACATGACTACAGATCATGTAAGCAAATGCAAACAAACGTCGACTGAATTTTGAAGAGCAATTGCAAAAGTTCTACTGGATCGATTTTTGCGATTTTACCATTGTTAGAATCGTCTTGACCTGTAGAATATCCTTACTTAGAAATAGTAGGAAGGTTTACTTAGCACAAAACACGTATTATTTTAAAAATTATATCCGAAAATAAGCATCCCTTATAACAAAAAGGGGTGCTTAATTTCGGAATGGTACGGTATTTGACAGTTTCATATGATATAAATGCTATATTTTAAATATGTACCATGTTGATGTGTACTATATATTGTTGAGGTTAGCATAATTGTCTTGAGCGTGGCGGCAGACCTTAGTCTACATGCAAAATGATACAAAAATTACGCTTTTGACGCATTTTCCTAGTTATTGCTGTAATGCTTATACATATGCTTAGAATTTTTTTTGATTTGGTGATTATTAAAAATTAGATGAAATCATAAAATTTTATTCATTTATTGTTGCACAATTATTAGTAAAACTAAAAGATTGTATTTGGCCGGTTATGAAACCACTTATAAAATACATAATAAAATTAAATTGTGATTATCTAATTGGTTAATTGAATATATGTCTCTTACCACAGTACCGGACAACAAAAAACATCCGAAATTGTTTCAAAGGCGTCAAATAGAGTGTCTAGTTATATAAAATATATAATAAATTTATCAAAATTATTTTAAATTGTATGAGCCTGGACCAGTGTTTCGGATTGATTTGCAATACGAATAAATTTTGGAACTATAGCTTAAACAGTTGATCGGCTATCCATATAAACAACCTGTATAGTTTATAGGTGTGATTATTATAGTTTATGTGATCCGGGCATATGTACCTATTTTGGGTAATCAAATATGCAATTTTAATTATCGTACATGCATATGAAAACGGAAATTTCGTTCGTTCAATACTACAGTACTATTACGCTATCTAGAGCTTGGATCCGGTGGATAACGGTTATCGTTTGGTCTCTTTTTCGGATAGCCGCATAAATCCGTTGAATTAATAAAAAAATATAGTCGATTCTAGATTTGGTGAATTTTTTATAATAAACAATTATAGTATGCTAAAAAAATTAACGCACTTTATTTATTTTGATTTATAGAATATGATATAATAATAGAAATTTCTAATAAATTGTTTATTAAATTTGCTTAAAATTTTAATGATTTAAAAAATTGTATTTAAATACAACGTGATAGAATATTTCACTTTTTTAAATAATGTGTTAGATTAGTAATTAACTTTTAAGAACAAAAAATAACAGATAAATCAATTAGGTTTTAATATCAATCAATACTACAATAAGTTATAAAAAACTAGTTGCTTTAATTATTCGTTAACTATAGAATAATTATAAATCATTTATTATACAATAACAAGTAGATACTATCTCTAACTTTGACTGACATTAAAATAAAATTCACTCATTTAAGCTAAATAAGGAATCGCAGACATATATGGATGTATACCGTTCTGCGTTTTATTTCCATAAACTCTATTCCTGGTAAGCAGTAAAAAAAATCATGACCTAATAATAATAGTACACACATAAGTGGAATTTAATAAATAGAAAAAAAAAACCAAGAAAATGCTTAAATAAGATATTTAGTATAAAGATGTTTGTTAAGAGACATCCAAGCACAGATTAGTACCTATAACCATACACTTCACTGCCCTATAAGAAAAGTGGTACGTGTTGTGGTACGGGTTGGTTTCGGGAATGTACGAAGTGGCACGGATTGTGTGGCACGCACAGGCATGTTTTACGGAGTGGTACGGTAAAAATGGCACGGTGTGAAAGGGTGAATTGTAGCTTGAAATTATTTTTTGGCGTAGTAGATCGATGTGGGTCGGAAAAGATCTAACAGATCTAACAGATCTGTCAGATCTGTCAGATCTGTCGGATCCGTCAGATATGCTGGATCTAGTAGATACGTTATATCTATTATATCCGTTAGATACGTTATATCTATTATATCCGTTAGATACGTCATATCTAGTATATATGTTAGGTATGTTAGATACGTTAGATACGTTAGATAGATTTTATATGTTATATATGTTAGAAAGAAGTAGCGAATCATAGTATAGCCGAAAGTTGTATATAAGGACCAAGAGTCCGCCTTGAATAAAACAATATCTCACGCATTGAGTCTTTAATAACCACAAGTTATCGCATATAATTATACACATTCATTTCTCTAATCCCGATAATAAATATCTCTTATCCCGTAATTCCGAATTAGAGCCTCGTGACGTAGTCTAGAGCTCTATTTGACCCTAATAACTCAGACCAAGTCTTTCCATGCCCTCTTTTGTGCCTTCCATCATTAGGGTCCAGATAGGGTTGGACACAATTTGGTGGTCTGTGTGTTGATTTGGTTTGGTTTAGCCTTCATAGATCTCCGAGAGGCCATATTTCAAAAGTCAGGGTCGAATTAGCCCCTCACAACGGACATTACAACAAGGGGTGGCACGTTATATCACATCATATGGAACAACACGTACAGATGACATGTATGTGTACATTGCGCACGTGTTGGCTCGTGATATGTGTTGGCTTGTTTCACAGAGAGTGAAAGATCAATAAATGATTTTTTTTTTAAAAAAAGTGCAATATCTCATAATTTCACTGATAAAGCTGCTCTGAGTATCTTAACAAAAAAGATTACATACAAAATTTTACTTCATATGCAGCTAGTATGTTTGTATTATATTGATTACTAATATAAAATTTATGTTTTAATTATTAATTCACATGTTTTTATTTGTTATCGCAGTGGCACATGAATTTACACATGCCAAATCTCATGCCGATTCGACTAGTAAACTGCTGCAAAACCCATGCCATTTACGGTCTAATTGGCATGGGCATATATTCCCACACGGACAACTGAATCTGTACCTACTCGGACCATACCTATATAAATCCGGATCTTGACCTGTGTCACAAAGGCCATACCTATCCAAAACCAACCCATACCTATCCGATCCATTTTTCTTATAGGGTGCATTAATTCTTACTTTCTCGAAACCCACCTTCCCAAAATACTATTTCCCTGATCCCATAATGATGACATCCCTTTTTTCTGGCAAGACATATTTCTGATAGTACATTTCACTGAAAAAAGTTTTACTGAATTTTTTTTCCCAACACAGCCAATTCTCAATGACTTGAACTTCCAAAAAAATTTTATTCGACAGACCTGTCTCTTCAACAAGAACTTTTTTTGAAATCTTTTCACCAACAAATATTATATAATACAGTGCCCACCATAAGTATTCGACCCCAGTAACTTTCCAGAGTTAATTTATAATGTCTTAAAAGTTTTAGTACATAAAGAGTATCATAGATGTTGATTATCTATATTTTTTTATAACTAATAAAACCTTACATCAGGATATTATATAATCATAAAGTTTGTGTTTTTATATACTAGGTAAATGGAAACCATTCAAAGTCCGAAGGACCAAATATAAATTTTAAATTTAATTTATACTATATTCAGTGTTGTCAGCAATAGATAAATAGAACAATAGAGCAATAGAATAGAGCAATAGAATTTAGAATAGAATAAAATTTTTATCAATAGAACAAAAAATTGACAACTAGATTATAATTAGCATTAATATAGCAATAGATGAATAGAACAATAAAACAATAGAACAATAAAATAGAATTTAGAATAGAATATAATTTTTATTGATAGAACAAAAAATTGACAACACTGATCATATTAAATTTTAAATGAATTTACTTGATTTTAGAAGTAGCGAAAACTCCTCATGTCTGGGGTTTTGATCTGACTAGACCCCAAAAATTGGAAAAGTTGTGCACAAAGATCTTATAGGCAAGAAGGATTTACCAACCAGGCTACTGGGTCATCTGGAGAAAAAAGTTATATATTATAAAATTGTGGACCAAGGATTGGGAAATCTTCAGACTTGAACCTGGGAAACTCAGGTCTGGGCAGGTTAATTCTTCCAGGCCAACTGGATTGGAAAAATGATGATACCAAAAGGAGTAAGATGTAGAAAGTGATAGAATATAGTACAGAGGTTTGTGAACTTTAAAAGGTAGAAGTAGGTAATAGTAGAGGTTTAATTGTTATGCTCTGACCCCAAGTATATGAATTAAAGCATGGTATAAGTTACTAAAGTCTAGGTGAATACATATATAGGAATGTACCACTCTGGCAGATTTACCTCAAGGATAAATCAGAATATTAGGTCCTATCCTAAGTCTGGCTATTAATCTAGTGGTGTTATATAGATCCATGACATCCTGGTAAGCACATGATGAGGTTATATCTAGTGCTACAAATCAACAAAAATTTTTCAATCAATTAGTTAACAACCTATTTTACCCAACTAATCGATTAATCGATTTTATTTCAACTAATCGATTAGTTAACTAATTGATTAGTCGACTAATCAACTAATCGATTAGTTGACCAATCGATTAGTTAATTAATCAACTAATCAACTAATCAATTAATTAACTAATTGATTAGTTACTTTGTGCATCTAAAGTATATGCTGGAATAATAATTTTTTGCTATTAGAAAAGATTTGTAAATAAATGTATATTATTTATATATGATAATGATGTTATAATCAATTAACCAATCTATTAGATTAGCAGTCGACCAATCGATTAGTTGACCAATTAACTAATCAATTAATTGATTAATCAACTAATTGATTAATCAACTAATTAATTAAGTTGGTTTGGTAAAATAAAATCAATTAGTTGTCAACTTAATCAACTAATCAATTTTTTAACTTTTAATTTGTAGCACTAGTTATACCTGGGTTTTAAGTCCCACACGATAGAAGTAAGAATATAGTCAGAGGGTTTAAATAGGTACACCACGTAGTGGGGTGCAGGTATGGCAGATAGTGTAGAACCCTTAGCATAGCACTACTACTTTGGACGAACTACTTAAATTAGACACCAAAAGTACACGTGTGGCTATATGTACTCTCGTTGTATACCAAAATAAAACTTAATAATAATAAATCGCTATTGACAAAGAGATCACTTTAATACCAAAAAAAAAAAAAAAATTTTTTTCTTTTTTATAATGTTTATATAACTTAGCTACTAATAAAAAACAAATAATTTTATTTATATAGCCTAATAAATGCAATATATTTTTAGTATTTAGTTACTAAACTTGAACATGTTTATAAACCTTGAACTAAACTTATTTTAAGTTCGGATTTAGGTTCATGTTTAAAATTTTAAATTCATGTTCAAAAATTTTTTCAAGTTCAGATTCAGATTTAGATTCATACTTAAAAATTTAAGTTCATGTTCAAAAATTTTTTCAAGTTCAGATTTAGGTTTAGGTTTATTAACCTAAACCTGAACTTAGAAACTCTAATCAAAACAACTTTATAGCAATTTTCTAAACAAAATTGCTTTACAGTCTAGAAAATAGCTTTACTTTTAAGAGGTTACTATTTATCACCACTGGTGATCATCACTAGTGTTGCTATATCTCAAAAACCTACTAAGTAAACGGGATCAGGTATTCTAAGTAAAAATGTTCAAAACCCTTGAAAACCTCATGGAAACTAAAATTGAAATGAAATTATTACCTAATTTCTATATTCACATTTTTATTTTGATCTTATTTAACAATTATCATGTATATTTGGCCAAAATTGGGATTTGTTTATTTCAGCTATCTCAAATTCCGTGAGTTTTGCCAACATGTATACCCACCGGCAGTGTTGGGTTCGGACGTTGTCCCATTAAAATTGCAGGGACACGGACAGTCCCGGACAATGCCCATGTCCCGGACAATGTCCCATATCCATGATGTCACATTGTACACAAGGGCAAATCAAACGATCTGATTGGCTAACAAAGCAGCCCTTATTGTAATTTTATTTTATTGTCCGGGACATTAACATTCTAGCGGACATGTCCGGGACGTCCCATCCCGGATTGTCCGTTGTCCCAACCCAACACTGCCCACGGGATCCAACATCACAAACTGTAAAGCAAATTAAGCTCTGATTCGTATTTTTGACGACGATTGGTCAATTAGCTTAAATATGGACTATCCATGGTCTTTTTGATAGGATCGGATCGGAATTTTCGAGACCAAATCCAACACAAAATCCATATTAGTATCCAAGCCTGGCTCATGTTGGAAGCTCCATGGATAGTCCGGCCCATGCGGAACCCTATAACTATAATAATTCTAAATATGCACTACGACCTACTATATAAACTAAAACTTAAAGTATAAGAATAACCAGACTTACGGGTATAGAATATTTGTATGATATTTTTTCGCGTTCCTGATATCGAGGTGTTAAACCGATTAAAACTGGGCTTTACAGCTATTTTTCATAAATTCTGGAACAACTGAAAAAATTGCCGATGACCAAACCGATAAGTTACCGAGTTGGAATCAATAAGTAACCGACTCCGGCCAAACTCAGAAACTTATCGATTCGGTCATTGGCATTTTTTCAGTTCCAGAATTTATGAAAACAGCTGTAACATAATAATAATAATAACGATAAGAACAATAAACCGGTTCAAAATGAATTCAGATCATGTGAGGTCATGTGATATTACTGCGTTATTTCAAAAAAATACAGAAATGCTTGATTCGCTAATCCGGTTGTTAGACTTTTTTTGTAAAAGCTTTGTTCTCACTTTCACGTAATCTTCTTTGAACAGCCACAGCAGGCGAAAGTTTAGTACGGATGGCTGAGACTGAAAACGTAGAGACAAAACTTAATTTTTCACAAGACGAGTTGATCTTGTGCTTTCACGGTCCTTTACTCTACGAAGCCAAGGTAACAATCACAGAATAACTCGATCGTGTGAGTTGTGTGATTAAGTGCCGGTTTCAATAATAAGTAGCAAAAGAACTAAAAAGGTGTTTTGTTTTACTAGATCCTTAAAGCCGAAAACTGGGGTCCCGATGATTCAGAATCTGGGGAAACTGGGCCGCATTATTTTGTGCATTATAAAGGGTGGAAAAAAACGTATGTAAGCGTTTCGAAATGATTATTGGACGTATTTTAGCATCGATTGTAAGATTTATATTATTTAAATACCAATAGGTGGGATGAGTGGGTTCCAGAAGAGAGAGTTGTAAAATACAATGATGCTAACCTGGCTAGACAAAAACAACTAAAAGACACATATACCAATAAGAAAAAGAAATCTGCAAACAAAGAACGACAGAATACACCTTCTCAGGAACCTTTAGTGAGTTCCCTAAAATAATTATCAGAAACAATTTATTCTGCACAAGAAATAAAAGATGTAACTCAATCAAAGCGATTAATTCAAGCTCGTACAAATAATTTTGTGCAAAATCATCAAAAGATTGCTAATAGAGGTCAGCAGAAAAGTTCTTCTCCTGAGCAGCTCGATAGTCCTAATTCAGACGAAAGCTCCATTAAGCAAGAGGATGAAGAAATGCTAGACATTAAGGATGAACATTTAGAACCAGATAGTGATGTTCAAGAAAACCAAAACCAGCAACGCACAAAAAAACGTAAATCGATAGATGAAGATGAGGATGATGTATGCTGAACTTAATGATTTCACTTGTGAAGATTATTTTCGGAGATGCTAATGCTTATTTACATGGTCTTTTTAAGGAAGAAGAATTTATGAATCGCCTTGAAATTAAAATCTCCCTACCCGAATCACTCAAATGTAGATTAATAGACGATTGGGAAAATATTACAAGAAATCATGCAGTGAGTATAATTAAATTATCCTAAGTACATGTTCCAGATAAATTGCTTTAATTTCGATCTGTTTTTATAGTTATTAAAACTACCTCGGTCACCAACTGTCTCAGAAATTTTAAAGCAATACCTGGAATACAAACGTTCATCCTCAATAAAATCCGAAAAGTAAGAATAAAATTTTGCTTATTTTATTTATTCCTATGATAAAGTATAATTATAATCTTTGCCTATTTAAAGGAGCGATATCTATACGGAAGTTGCACATGGGATTCAAGTTTATTTCGAGAAAACTTTGGGGAACATTCTTTTATATGGTTACGAGCGACAACAATATGTTGATATTCGTAAACAATTCCTAGAAAAAGAGAACGCAGAAATTTATGGAGCGGAGCATTTGCTGAGGCTCTTTGGTAATAAAAGTCTGTTGATTATGATGATTATGTATGTTCATTTAATAACCGTCGGTTAATTATCAATAACTAGTCGAATTACCGCGTTTACTTGTTCACACACATATGGATCAAACAACTACCGAGACTCTTGAAGAGCATTTGGCTGATTTCTTAAAGTAATCACAAACTAAAAATTTGCCACATGTTTTATAAAGTTTTGAATCTAACGATTATTATGATAAAAGATTTTTACAGAAGAATGAAGACCAATATTTTGTCACTGAATATGAGCGTCATGGTATGACACTTACAAATAAGCAAAAGACAAAAGAGATAAAGACAATCGAGAAAAAGACGTGTGGTTATAATACTTATAGTAACTCTGAGGGTAAATTTGAAATAGTAAAGAATAGTGGAAATTTTTATTGCTATATTTTTCAAATCCCTTCAAATCTAATACTAATCATTACTTATTACATTTTATTTAGGGTGGATTTGCGGTAATTGCAAAACTTCAAACACCCCAGGATGGCGGGCAGGAGAGACTCCGGACCAAAAACTTTGTAACGGTTCGTATTTTAGATATATTAACAGTTTTTTGGTATACTTTATACAATCCTAAACCTATTTATTGATTTCGTTCTATTACAGCTTGTGGTCTATATTATGCTAAATATAAATCGCATCGACCTTCGAATCTTTGGAACAATCACCGAGGCAATAAAGCGCCATAACTATTACCATTGTTGTGATAGAATCTGGAATTCCATTGAACTTTCAGATTATTCCGGTTCCAATGAAAATTCCACTGTAAGAATGATCTTACCGGAATGAATATAATGTTAATGCACATATAGTAGTTAATATTAACCAATCAAAATAACTATATACAATAAAGTCATATGTATGCTGTCATACGTATGAGTTTATATAATGTTATGCATTCGTAGGGTCGAGTTCAAGTTTGTGACGAGAACACGGAGTTCATGCGATATAAATTTGTAAATTATATTTTCGACTGGATTCGCAATAAAGTGCCGATTTGTTAATACACATTTGCATTTCTTGCAGAGTGTTCTTTTTAACACCTGTTGGGCATTTATATCTATTCGTCACAAATAACAAAAATATTATTAGGTTTTTTTGAATTATTAAATCAGGCAGTGCCTGCCTGATAACTGGTTTACTTGGTCAAAGATTTAAATTCAGACTAAGAAATTGAATTCCGAAGGAATTTATAAAAAAAGACGTGAAAATTCTATCTGGTTTACGTCATACGTGTATGTGAAACGAGAAAATGTTAGAGAAGGAGGTGCAATACTAGCCGCAAATACATTATAGAGAGAATGTTTACGTAAACATAAAACCGCATATTTTTAATTATCCGACTTTAAGAATTTTTAAGTTGGTCACCCGGCTTGAGAATTTCACTACACTAAATCCTAACCCTTAAGCTCAAAAGCCGTGTACCCACGTGACTTTTTCGTTTAAATCAATCCAACCCGAAGAAATCAAATTTAAAGAAAACGTAAAATTGTGCAAAAACGGCAGTCTAAACCTGTCTTGAAGTATTTTAAAAAATGGCGGGAGGCAATTTTACCTCTATAGCCGACCTTTCCTCACTCTAGCAAACTTTAAAAAATCACATGGGTAATTTTAGTCTAAATTGGGACAGTCAGGATGAATCGGGCGAATTCTAATTCGGGTGCGATTAGTGATGTGAGTAGCATAGAGGGCTTTCATTATGATTGGCTAGTTTTTGTAGATCATTTTGTGACGTACAAATTTTGATTGGCTAAGAG